CCCCCAAAAAAAAAAAAAACAAAAACAATATTCTGATTCCCAAGATCGCCGATATACAACCTGATGTACAAACGAGACCCCGATAAAGCCCAACAAACTCTGATGAAACCCTACGAAACTCCATGAGCTCGCCTGCTTTCGGGTTTTAGGGTTTGGTGATCACCTAGTCAGGAGAGGCGGCTGACGGCAGAGGCTACGCGATCCAAAGGCCCAATCAGGATTCTATGAGAGTCATTATACGGGCACAATAGTTGGGGTTTTGGGGGATACTATACTATAACTACAGCTATTATAAGAAGCCCGAAGGAACAAGTAGAAGAGGGTTACTACAAGAGGGGGTCTGTCAAGGTGCTTTTAAAGGGTCCTATGAGGGTCGCGATAAGGGTTACTATGGGAATTCCTATAAGTTTTAGGGTTAAAAAGTTACAGAGGTGAAGGGAGTGCTAGATAAAGGAGTCCAGCAAGGCTAACTTACTCAGGTTTCAGGCAGCGGAAGTGCTGCATCGGAGCGCGAGTGGGGATATGCCTGCCAAGAATGATCACAAACAGTGGGATCCTGATTGTAGCAATAATATAACATCATCAACGCTATGAAACCCCAAGCGGTAATATCCTGCTTGTAGATTGTAGAGATCCTTGACCCCTCCAAGTCCCGAGCCCTTGTGGAACCTGAACCAGTACAGAACCCTTGTAGTAGCCTTCATGGAGACCCTTCTAGTTACGTTAGTATAAGCCATAAGCCCTAAACCCTAAACGACCCTTGTGGATAGTTAGCCGGCATCTATATGTAAAGAAGTTAAGGAAGCCCGAAGGGTTTCGAGCCCGACAGTTTTGGAAGTCTCTATGATACTCGTGGTTGTCCAAATTAGGATTAAGAGTCGTATTATTCAGGGTTCCCCAAAGGGACCGTGATTTTCACAGTTACCCGTATCGACGTTCTTTTGTGCCTCGTGCTGCTTTTAGGAAGGTCTCATCAAGGGGAATGTAGGCCATCCACGGAACCTTAAGACAGAATATAAGGGTAATTTCATGTTGACCACCGCCATCATCATCAGAGTTGTCGTGAGAGGGAATATTGTCCTCGGGGGTATTGCCAGGGCTGCTGCCGGCACTTCGCTGTGAGCACTTCTTGGTGGCGGCAGGCACGCACCTTCAGACACAGTCAGAGTGCATTATTTGATGTTTGGTGGGGGAGAGTCCGAGACCGGGCGCAGTAGGCAATGGTGGAATAGGGAAGGCCCAAACCTTAAAGCCTAAGTCGGCAAATATTCGGCATGGAGGCACGAGTCGCGTGCTTCAGTGGAAGGAAACCTGGTGTCCTTGTTTTCTAAAACCCGAAACCCGAATGCCCTAAACGGCCCTAAATCCCATTTGTCTTTTTCGTCAGGGTTCAATCGGGATTTATAGGGAGTTGTTGAGGTTCTTTACAAGGACTTTGTAATTTTGTAGTGTTTGCGCAGGCATCTGATCCCCGGCTCCAATCAGAGTTCGACTTCCGGAATGCTTGCCGCCAAGGGCGAGAGGCTCAAACCTGAGATGCCCAAGCTAAAACCCGAAAGCCTCGCAGAATCAACCCTGATCTCCTAGCCCTAAGCCCCAAACCCCTAAACCTCAAACAGCAAAGTACTAAACCAGAAACCCGAAAGCCACCCAAAGCAAGAGTTGCTCAACCACAAGCCCAAGTTAAACATGGAGAACAGAGTGAAGCCCAAAAGACAAGTTACACCAGTGAACGCAGAACAAGCGAGTGCGATGATGTGCTTGTTTGCTTGAGATGTTTTGATGTGCTGGTTTGCTTGAGATGTTTAACTGAATTTTATGCCGTGTGATGTGTTTCGTCCGAATCAGTTCATGTATTCACTTCGTTTCGTTAGAGTTAAACTACCTCACGTGTCGGAATCTTTGGCGTGCTTTTTGTGCAAGTAAGCATTTCGCCACAGCGGGAGCGCGATTTCTGTGATTCGGCGTGTCCCTTTTTGGTGTCTTGTTTTGAGTGTGGTTGAAACGCCAAAACCCCGCACACAGCGACGTTTGCATGATGTCAGTCTGCAAAAACGTGGTTTTGCAGTTTACCCCAGAGTTTTTCTTGTTTTAATTTTTCCCGACCAAAAATTTCTGAACCGCGGATGTGAAAGGAAAGAAAGTCCTTTTGCCGAGTCATGGATTTGCATGTCAGTAGTATTGGTTGGAAGATATATTCGAATCATTGTGAACGCATTGGGGACTTAATATGGACTAACAAGGACTTGTCAGTATCTTTGCTAATCTTGCATCGGATCAACTTCGAGATTTGCCTATCGGCGCTAAGTGCATCGGATCGACTTCGTGATTTGCCTATCGAGCTAAGTGCATCGGATCAACTTTGTCAGATTTGCAAAATTCATCCGAGTTGATTAGAAGATATATTCGAATTAATTCGAAATCAGAAGAACGGGTTTAACGGTTCTTGTTGGCCGTTTGGAAGGCACAAGGAGAAGGGGGGGGGTGCCTGCATGAGGGACGTGACCTAGCTGTGGAGCAAGAAGATCCGTTTAACGCTCTTCGAGGCCTTCCCGAATTCCCCGGAAGCTTGGCCGCTGTGGCCGCGCCCGGGCGCCCCGGTGCTTTTTCGGGCGGGGTTTCATTGGGTGTTAAAAGGCTTATAAGTATTTATAAAGATGTGCTCTATGTGCGGATTTGGCGATTTTAGGGGGTTTACAAGGGTGTATTGGGTGTTCAGTTCCCAGGAGAATTGCTAGTCACTACCGTAATTGGGGTTGCAGTCATTGCAATTATATTTATACGTGAGTAGAACGACAGCAACTAGTATATTACCCCTGCTTACCCAGCCCGTGATCCTTCAAGTGGGGTCGTTTTTTGTCGGGCTTTATGAGGTGTTACAAGGTAGGCAGATCATGCACTTTGGGGTGCCAGGGCTTTGGGGTTTGAAAGTTTGCGGTTTTCAGTTGCCTGGCAAAACCAAGGAACATTCCCCAAATTACGCTTTGGATTTTAGGCTTAAGGAATTTTCCTTCATTGAAAGGTATTGTGCTCCTAAGGTCATGTAGTGAGACGTAATGCAGTGATTTGCTTTCGTTGATACCGCTGGGCAAGGGTATCGCTTCCGTCCAATTCTTCTCGACTACAGTACCACTACCACTACCACTACCACCACTACTAGTACTACTACTACTCCTCCTCCTGCTGCTGCTGCTGCTGCTCCTACTACTACTACTACTACTACTACTACTACTAACAACTACAACTACAACTACAACAACAACGCCTACTACTACTACTACTACTACTACTACTACTAGTACTACTACTACTACTACTACTACTACTACTACTACTACAAGTACTGCTACTACTACTACTACTACTACTACTACTACTACTCTGTGGATGGAAGCAATCTTGCACCGGTTTGAATAGACCAACAACGAGAGTACCCCGCGCCCCCTGTTTAATATTGATGTTCAGTCCTGGGTAAGGTGGCGGGTTCCACTGACAAAATGTTGCACCAGCCACATGGCATACTATCCTCAATGTTAAACAGGGGGTGTCGGGTCCTGGTGATGGGCGGTGTCATGAGTCAGCATCTGGGAGGTGCACGATGTCCTCCATCCACCATCGTAGTAGTAGTGTAGGTGTAGGTGTAGTAGTAGTAGTAGTAGTAGTGGTGGTGGTGGTGGTGGTGGTGGTGGTAGTAGTAGTAGTAGTAGCAGTAGTAGTAGTACTAGTAGCAGTAGCAGTAGCAGTTCCAGTTCCAGCATGTGCAGATGTTGCGAGGTCTGAAGTGGAGGCTATCGACGCCGCCGGGGTGCCGGAAGAGGCCAAAAGGCGCTCGGGTGGGGATTCATTTTGGAGACACGGGCTGCAAAGAGTTTTCTATAGAAAGCCTGAGGGGTTGCGCTCCTATGAAGGCATTGTAAAACCTTACAGAATTCGATGCGATGAGACCCTTGTAGACTGCCGTAGAACCAGGTAAAATCCCCCACACTCTATAAACTACGCAAGGGCGGAAGACGAGGAGGATGCTTTCGTCCCCGAGCACGACGATCGCGAGAAGGCGGAAGATCATTGCGGGTGTTTGGGGTTTTATGGGGGGCATTTTGAGTGCCTTTAGAAGGTTGCTTTCTGAAATGAGAGGAGGAAGCAAGACGCTTATTCATCACCCTTATCGAACCCTTGTACAATCTTTGTTAAACCTGATAGCAGTCCCAGAACATCTCAAAGCCCCAGCCCTAAAATTAATCATAAGCCTCGAAGTAAACCCTGCTGCTGTGGGCGTGGGAATGTAGAGTTTATGGTTGTAGGGCTTAGGGCTTAGGGTTTAGGGGTCTGAATACAGGATCTGCTCTCTGGGACTCATGAGGTGGTCTCGGGAGTATCGGGGTGTCCCGTCAGTGGTTCTTGCGTAGGTGAAGGTCTTTGCAGGGTTTCATATTATGGGGTTTTCAGCAATTGGGAGGATCTTCATATTGTTATGAAACTACCATATAAGAGAACCAACACGCTTGGATTCTGGTGATTTTGCTCTAGTCTGGTTGGAGCAGGATAGGGACACCTGCAGATGACAAGCGGAAACACGACAGAGCAAGATACTGCAAACCCTCCGCTCCCTCCTACAGCCTCGCATTTCGCCAGGCTGCTCCCGCCACACCAGTGAAACGGAAACGTGGTCGGCAAGGTCGGAAACTACTGTAGTTCTGAAGCCGGCTTGTGAAGACGCTTCCGTCGCGCTTATGTCCGCAATGCTGTGAGCAAGGGGCTGTATGTTTTTCGAGGCTGTGTTGAGCATGCTTTGAGTTCGCAGGCTACAGTGGTGGTGGCGGCGGAATGCGCGGGTGGAGCAGCGAGGACCAAGTTGAATGGTGGAACAGGCTAAGAGTTACAAAAGCCATCGGCTTGCTACTTGTCCGAGGGGCTTGCGTGCACACATGCCGAGTAGTGGTGCATACCTACATACGGACTACTAACATCTCTTGTAACTGTCTTTATTATTTTATTATATATCATATATCTGCACTTTATAGGTATAGAAGTATATATGTATATGCACAGGGAGCTACATGTGTACTCTAAACTAGAACTCCGACCGCAAGACTCGGTGCGCTAGATCCATTGTATACAGGATGCATAAGAAGCGAAACAAGAACCAGGTGGTTCCCAATCAGAAAGCTTCAGCCTTAAACTCTGAAGCCGAAAATTCCTGACGCCGGACATGAACCCTCGCCCTGAGCATGTAAATCTGTTGCAAACACCGCGAAAGACTCTGTAAGACGAGATGAGCCTCGATCCAAGGTAACAAGCCTCATCTTTCGTTTCTAAACCCCGAGCCCGTATAACACCCCAAAAAGGCTTCAGATCCTTAGGCCTTCTTTTGGAGACCCACCCCCCTGTGTTCCCCGCTAGTCACAAGAAGTAAAAGCAGACCCACATAAGCCTTCATAGCAACCATTATCGTAGCGCTTATGGTAACCCGTATACAGTCGCCCGCTATAGCAAGCATATGGGACTTTCCGAAAATTTGGGTACCTTATTTTGGGGTCCTTGCAATAAGGATCCTATTATTTAGGGTACTATATTAGGGTCCCCTATTTTCGGAACCCCCCATATTCATACAACTCTCCGAGGAGGAGAGCGACCCGGAGCCTGCTCGAGCTTCCAAAGCAGATGCGCGAAGGCGGGATGTGTTGTTGAAAGGGGTTGCTTAAGGGGCCTTAAAGGATTTTAAACGGCTGTTCTTACAGGGTTGCTTAAGGCTTCTTGTAGGTTTTTGGTGTGTTTTCAGTGCTTCATGATGTTTTAGGGGTCTTATAGGTTCTTAAAAATGTTTCATTGGCTTTGCATGCGCTGCAACAAGGGTTTCCTATGCTCTGTTGATAGGGTGTTGTAGGCCCTCTCGCAAGAGTTTTTATTGGATTGGATCAGGGGTTCTACGGTTTTGAGCTGTTATGGTTTACGGTTTTAGGGTTTTGGGTGATTGCAGTTTTATTTTTTTGGCGAAGGGTGTGTTCTGTTTCTTGCTTGAGAGGGACTGTAAGAGCCTTGTGCGTTGGATCCCTGTAGCGTTCAACAAATTAAGCAATTCTGAGCGCCTACAGCGATGACGACAGGGACACCAGGAAGTTGTCACAGTGGTCGTTGTAATCGTCATAATCATCATCATCATCATCCTCATCATCATCCTCATCATCACCGTCACCATCACCATCACCATCACCATCACCATCACCATCACCATCACCATCACCATCACCATCATCATCATCATCATCATCATCATCATCATCATCAATCTTGATCATCAGCATCGCCCGGCATCAAAAGTAGGAGGGGCTACTCGCTTCGATAGGACATCAAATTGCGGGACGCGGGACAGTGAAGTTCAAGCGCTAAACCCTCAACACCTAGTCAATGGCTACTGAGCCATAAAACTCACAGGTGCCTAAAATGAAACGAACTCCCACAAGACCCACAGCCTGGGTGCCAGGCAGCCAGCAGCACGCACCCACCAACCCACACACCCACACAAAGAAACTCGAGTTCAAAAGCAAAACTCGTTAAACAAAGCGCGGCAACTCCGAAAAGAACAAACCGAAGCCGCTAAGATGACCAACACAAACACCCTGAAGTTAGCACGGTGACCCGGGCCTAGCCGTCCAAAGACTCAACTGCTGAAACTTCGCCGTTTGAACATATCGCTGCAAGTTTGTTTCTATGTGCTTTTGGTGGCTCGTTTTCTGTGGTTTTCGACTTTCGATCGTATGGTTTATCTTGAAACCCCGAAATCCTGGGCTTGCAAAGCCCGGCAAATGCTTGAAACACCCCACCAACGACTGAGATCTCAGGGACTCTTAATAGTATAAAACACCCGGGGCTATTCAAGAGAATCATTCTGTGGGTCTAGGGGCTCACAATTTATTAATACTGTTCCCCAGGGTTCCCCAGTGCGTCCAGCAGGCTCCTGCAGGCAACCCCTAAATCCTAAATCCGAAACCAGCCAGAATGAAGTCTTAACTCATGGTTCTAGACGGACCCGAAACAAAGCCAACACCCCAGATGGTAGTTTCAAACAAGCAAGGGACCCTGGTATAGACACTCGAGAAGACAATCTTTGTTGTAAAGACCCCGAACGAGGGATCTCCAGTTCGTTCGCAGAAATGCCTGAATTGAGCCCAGCCAAAAAATTAGTGATGCTGTTTTGAGGATTCCTTTATGCCGGCCATTACCAAGTTATGCCCCCAAAACCCCTAAAGCCTGCCTACATCGCTATCGCTCAGGGCTCCGAAGGGGAAGCAGGCGACGCAGCGCGTCACTCGAGGCGCGGGCCCAGGGGGCACTCCAGGGGTGTGGGGTGCTTGAGCTCAGTCTTGGTTTTGGGGTTTAGGATGGAGGGTTTCTATTGAGTTCTTCGGACAGTTTAAGCCTAAGCAACATATCATAAGGTGTTGCTACGAGTTTATGTTAATGTTGTGGAGGATTTCACTCCTGACATCCGTTGCGGAAGACAGAATGTTACTACAAGGGTTACTATGAAGGTCACTCTAGGGTTGGGTTTACGCTTTTGGAGGCTTGGTGGTTTCAGGGTTTAGGCTTTGAGGGTTCAGGGTTTCATGTGGCTGTGGCCGTCACCAGCTTTGCTCCTTGCAGAAGCCCTTTATCTTGTTGGTTGCTTGTGTTCGATCCCTTTGATCTCTGGTGGAGACAACTTCCAGGAAGCCCAAGTTACGTACGAAAAAAGTGCAGTTGAACTTCAAATGTAGCAAGAAATCCTAACTGGGTTACTAAACGCTGCATTCCCGAATTGAGGGTAACTCGGGCTCTCTGGAAAGTCGTCCACAGGCCGCGGCTTCTTGTCGGAGGCCGAGCAGGCCCGACGGGAAGCTCCTTTCGGATGGATGGTGTAGCTGGGTGGTGGCTTGCATGGGTTGAAGCTACATGAATCAAGCGGCTCAAGACACAACACTGTGCACAAGCATCTGGTAGAGAGGCAACTATTCCTGATGTTTTGTTGTACTACAAGCATGCAAACTCCCAAGATGTGTGGGATGTTACAACCCTATAATGGAGGCTCCGACTTTGGATTCTTGATGTTGATTCATATGACAGGGACTGTACGGCAGTTCAACATGTGCTCAACGCTTCGTTGGCAGGAGGCAACTGAAATTCGGAGTCTCTTGGGTTCTCCTACACTTCATGTGGCGGGTTCTTTAGATGACCACGGTTGCTTTTCAAGGGAGCTGTGAGAATCATCGTGTCTTGTCTCTTCGCTGATCTTCGGATGGGCTCTCCCCTCACTTTCAGCCCCAATCAAAGCAATCAGCATCTCTGTAGTGCTCGAAAATAGGGCCCCTTTTTAGGTCCCAAAAGTAGTGCGGCACCCGTTTACATAAAGGAACCCAGTTGCCCATCTTGTTTTGCGGAGTCCAGAGATCCCCCAGGAAACCCCGAACTCTAAAGCTCTGAGGCTTGAAGCCGAAACCCTTGTAAGACCCCTGCAACTGCAAACCACTCTTTGTAAAAACAGTATATAAAGCCGTGAAAGACTGCATGTTTAAACCCAGAAGCCGTCACAAAACCCTAGGGAACCGCTCTTTTGGCTCTCTAGGAGTATACCTTACATCATAACAGGGATCCTGCTAATAGTTTAAGGGTATGCTGTATGTTCCTTAATTGAGGGATGTTGGAAGATGGGGCTTCCGAAGCATCTCGGTGAGGCGGCCTCCGCAGCGAAGAATGAGGCGGATGAGGACTGGGAGATCGGGCTTTGGGGTGCTTTTTCCAGGGTTTCTACAAGTTTTGGCGCTTTAGTAGTTCTTTTGGTGCTTCAATAGTGTTTTTGACGGGTTTTGGTGCTCCAACAGATGGTTTTTAAAGGGTCTTGGGGCATTATGGGTGTATGTGAGGATTGCCAGAGACTCCAAAATCCCTTCAGCAGGGAGAATCCTTGTTCTGGCTTCAGGGATATTGCGCACTGAACGGGTTCGGCAGTCCCTGGGTTGGTGTAGGGGTTCCTAGTTGGCGTTAGGGTTTGGGGCGGGGTTGCCCTTTATGAAACCAGTTCAACATGTATTTTCAGTTTTCGGCGCTTTAGCTACAAGTAGCAAGCACTAAAAGTTCACGAGCTCGGGTTGAACCCTAACGCTCCAAACCCCAGAACCCAAAACCCCAACACTCCAAAACTCAAAGCGCCAGAATTCCCTTGTCTCTAAGTGCCAAACCCCATAAAGGATACAAACGCCGCAAAGCTGTGAAGACTAAACTCTCAACCCCCACGGAACCCGCATGGAACCCATATAGAACTCCATAGATCATTATCAAAAGCATATAAACATCATAAGACCAGAACAAAATCATCCTGGACAAAGGCCTTCTAAAGCCTTACACCTCAGTGCAACGCAGTGTGCAGCTTGATGCAGGACCTTCCAGTCCGATGCAGGCGTCATTCGTGTTTTGAGTTTTGAAGGGGCTTCGTAAGGGGTTTACGGTTCATATAGCGGTGCGACAAGAGCTTCAACATTACCAGAAGGGAGCTTCGGTAATAAGCTTGGTAGTTGGTGTTATAAGCAGTTTACCGGGGATTATACTGCTGATCTGCGCTTTACCACTTACTTACTAAGACTCCTGGTTGTTCACATAGGGTTTGGGGATTAGCAGTTCAGTGTCTAGGGTTGTGCGGTTTAGGGCCCACGGTCTATGGCATGCCATTGAGATTCCACCCGTGTCTGCCCATCATCACAATAGATGCCAGCGATGACACCCCTCTCCTCATGCTTCAAGTCCTGTACCCAGCGCCCCGTCCCGACCTCCCTGAAGTCCTCCAAGTCCCTAAGTCGCCCAAGCTCAACACCCCGTGCTAACAGCGTACTGCCTGTACAACCTTTCTACTGCCTTTTTTGGAATCTCTATACACCCTACATTGGTTGCGCGAGGCTGCGGGGCGACTACGAGCATTACGCGATCGATCCCGAGGCTCCCTTCATCTAACATACGGGTTTGAAGAATTCGTGAAAAGGGGTCGCCCTTAAGTCCCAATGTGATTACTTATACAAATTACATACGCCCGCAACACCCAGTTGAACTTGCTAACTCCCTGCATTGGTCTTAGTAGTAAAGTTGGTTAGACATCTCTAAAGTTTTCCGGGTTACTATAGTCCCTGTATAACCGCAAAGGTTAACCTTTGTGGTTCCCTTACATTGCTGGACAAGTAACTGCCTTTACCCCAAACAACCTACCTTTTTGCGGGTATGTATAAGGAAGTCATAGTAAGATAACCTTAAAGCCCTAAGCCCCAAGATTCAGAGGGCACCGCAGTTCCTGTTGGTAAGCGTGTCAGTGATAGAACGGGGGGAGGATGGGATCGCAGCGTCAAAGGGGTAGTTCTCTAGATAAGGGTGTCGTACCGTTTTGGGTACCTAGAAAGGGACTCTAGTAGAAAACTACCCATAGGTTTGGGCCTGTCGTTTGGGGATTAACGTGCCTTGGGTTTGGGGGTGAGGTTTAGGATGCCTTTCGGATCTTCAACAGATGACTTACATGGTTTGATACTAGGGCCTATGAGGCCGATGATGACACCAATGCTAATGGTCTAATCTCATGGCTTGTCATGCTGACCACAAACAAGGCAGCGGCGTCGTGGCAATGATGGTGTTTGGCAAGTGATGTAGAATGTATTGATGAGGGAAAGGAGAAGCATGAGATGATGATGATGATGATGATGATGATGATTAAGATGATGACGGTTGTGACGAAGATGCTGACAGCAGCAGTGGTCGTGATTGTGGCGCTGATATCTTTGATAATGGCCGTGGTATCCGTTGGGTCTTGCCATATGCTTGATGTCATGGCTGTTTGGCCCGAGAAGGATT